GAATCCCTCGCAAGTAGGTTTCTGTGCCAGATGGAAAGAAAGGACGCGGGCATGAGCAGTGCGTTCGAGCGAGTGCAATAATAACGAATATCTTAAACAAACAAAAAATCTAACATTCAGGAAGAAACAGGGAAGGGAAGCAGAGGCAGTTATGCATACGACCTGGGTATTGCGTCTGGCACGCTGTAACGAATCACGCTGGACGTACTACTTGTTTGTCGTTTTCAGGCTTTTTGCTTCGGGATCGGTCCTCGGACGTCTCTCGGCGACCATAGCCATTAGGCGGAGCGCAAGTTCGTCTGCTTCTTGAACAGAGGGTTGCGATGATGTCAGAGTGCCGAGCTCTTATTGGCTGATTGAAACAAATCGTGGGTAGACCTCGATGCATCTAGCATTGGGGTCTACCCACTATCCTTTCAATCAAAGCCAATCAGAGCTCGCCGTCGTTCTGACGTCACCGCGACTCCTGCGGAAGAGGCATACGACTTGCCCTCCGCATAGACTCCCTTAGATTGCTGTGGACACACCTACGACCACGTCTCAAACATGTGAACTGATCATCTTTAGACCGACACTTTGGCTTAAGCAGCCTTGTACACGTTACTCCAAAAAAAAAAAAGAATGGATTACAACTACAATTACTCTTTGTTAAAATGTATTCCCTTGAAGGACTTCATTACTCGAGAAGAAAAGTAATCCGGAAGCAAGTTCGTCTGCTTCTTTCGCTTGAGTTGTGGTGACGTCAGAACAGCGGAGCTCTGATTGAAGGATAATGGGTGGACCTCAAAGCAAGCTGCCTTGAGGTCTACCCACCACCCCTCTATCAGAGCCAATCAGAGCTCGGCGTTCTGACGTCACTGCAACCCCTGCGCAAGAAGCAGACGAACTTGCGCTGACGGTTTGAAAATGGTCTTTCGTACCGTACATTATTCGAGTAGGAACACCGAATTCTATACTATTTATCTTTTTAATTCGCCAATTCTGGTAAACAGTCCTTTTTTCGGAGACTTGGCTCGAAGATTCTTTGATTGGAAACTTGTAGAAAGAAAGGGCGCCATTAGGAAGGAGAGGAAAAAAGTTGTAACGCTTACAAATAATTTTACTACTTCCAAAAGTAATCAGATTACTCTTGTGATTATCTCCAATAACTATATTCCAATGATTACAAAATTACTCCAGAAAGTTATTGATTACAAGTACTTTGATTGCTTGTAATAATTAGCGTGCATGTCTGATTTGAAATGAGAAAGTAACAAGGTGGATTTTTTTAATCGAATTTAGCGAGACGGTTTCCATCAAAAATTTGAAGAACCAACAAATTGCTGAATTTTCCAAACTGCTCTAGACTGTTTTTTTGTTGTTTTTTTTTTTTTTGTGTGTGTGTGTAAAATATTGGTGCCAGCCCCATTAAACGTGTAGATTAAGGTTTGATATTCGTTTATAGTTTTTTTTATTCGTGGCAATATCACATCCTTTGCTGAGTGGAAATATGTAAAAGTAATTCCCGTTCGTAAAACTGGCTCCCTGCTACTTCCGGTAAACTATAGGCCTATTTCATTACTTCCTTACTGTTCGAAACTGCTAGAACATATTGTTTTTAAACACCTCGCGAGTTACTTAGAAAAAAATGCTTTTTTCCTTTCAAATCAACATGGTTTCCGTCATGGCCTTTCTACTACGACTCAGTTACTTGAAACAGTCCATGATTTCACAAATATCCTGAATCGATCCAAATAAATTGACGTCATATTCCTAGATCTTTCTAAAGCTTTTGATAGAGTATCACATAGTAAACTTCTCCTTAAACTTAAATCAATTGTTCAAAACGAAGGTATCTTTCGCTGGCTCGAGAACTACTTACAGGACAGAAAGCAGTATGTACAGATCAACTCGAGTGAATCATCATTAGTCCCTGTTTTATCGGGTGTTCCGCAAGGCTCGGTCCTGGGGCCATTACTGTTCTCAATTTTTATAAACGATTTAACCGCTAATATTCCAGTACGTGTTCGACTGTTTGCAGACGACGTGGTTTTATTTACAGAAGTCAATGAAATAAGTGACCAGTTTCTACTAAACACCTGCTTGTCCAAGATGGCGCACTGGTGCGACTCGTGGCAGATGTCATTGAATGTCAAAAAGTGTGTTCGAATGCATATAACTCGTAAATTAAGTCATCTTTCTTTCGATTATTCTATTAATAGTACTTCACTAGCCGAAGTTACTTCTTATAAATGCTTGGGTGTTATTATATCGAATGACCTACGCTGGAACACTCATATCATGTCTACTGCGTGCAAAGCACTATCCAAGTTATGGTACTTAAGACGAAGTTTAAAACATGCCTCTTCCGACGTTAAATTGACAGCCTATAAAACTTTCATATTACCAATCCTAGAATACGCTTCGGTGGTTTGGGATCCGTTTACAAGTACCAACATAAACGTCCTCAAAAATGTTCAAAGACAAAGTTTACGCTTCGTTCATAATAAATTCCAGCGAAAATATCCCGTCTCTGAACTGTACGCCCTTTCTGGGGTGAACTTACTAAAGCATAGACGCATGTTTACGAGAATAAAGTTTCTATTTGATTTATTAAACAACCGGTTCAAAATCGATATCTCTAAATTTATTTCACCCGCACCTCAAGATTATCCCATGCAAAGTTATCATTGCAAAACGCTCAAAGGATTCAACAGTCGGATTAATGCATTTAAGTACTCTTTTTTCCCAAGGACTGTTCACGACTGGAACTCCCTGCCAAGCGATATAATAACAGCATCACCATAGTCGTCCTTCTTTAATAAACTCTGAGATTTTTGTGATTCTTGTATCTGATGCTCATTTATTAATTTTTTTGCGATGAACATAGTCTTTGTATAACGCTGTTTGTGTGTTTTTGGATCAGCTAGAACGAATATCCTTGTGCTTGTTACCTGCTGTTTTTTTTATTATGGTTTTTGTGTACCCATATGTTGTAAACCACTCCTACCACGTCTCCTGAAATAGGAGACAGTAGTATTAATAAATAATATTAAGGGAAAGGGGAGGGGAGGGGGGGGGCAAGTTGTCTATGTTTGCCACTGTGTCCGTGCAGCTATAACTTTGCCGGACATGACACTCCATTTGTAATGCCCGAGTCCCACTAGATCGACAAACAGAAATAACCGACACTAATCAGGCCTCACACATGTGAAGCATGGATGCGCGCGATGGTACCTTCGTCAGTCTCAGTCTTTCGGTGCTCGTCAAGCAAGCACGAGTGACTGCAAGCCCGCCGCAGGAACCATCGCGTGCATCCATGCTTCACGTCTCCGAGGCTGGATCGGGGTCGGTTAATGTCGCTCTATACTCCGTTTCAATTTATGTTGTACCGCAAAGAAGGCTAGAAGCGCGAGCTCATAGCGTTGGCAGCTGCTCTTAACGCGCGAGAGCTTGTGCCGCCGAGACGTGCCTTAGGGCAAGCAGCTCGCGCTTGTAGCCTTTCCTGTGGTACATCATAAGGTGAAACAGAGTATAGTAGGGCTCGGGCAGTAGGAAAATCAGTCTCCTACAAATCTGCTCCATATTATAGAGTCTCTTACTACTCCGGGAGTCTGGTTACCCGTCAATGATCTGTCGTCCGTCTCGTTTTAAGGTGTCTACAGGGTAACGGACCTTGGTACTGTTCTCACCGTGACTTCAAGACGGTGGATGATTACACCTTGCACAAAGCGAACGTGCCACCGGGCGAAGTTCGTCGGTTATTTGTCGGAGTAACTTGGATTGTTTGTATCAGACTTGTCATACCTGTATATACGTTTGTGTCCTTGTAGCCAAGGTATTTGCTTAGTTGAGAGTTTTCGTATGTGGAACTAAATTATTCTGAAAACTATTTGTTTGTGAGGACAAACAGACGGAAGTTATTTTTATACTTTGTTTAAGTGTGCGAACCAGTTGCGGACAAACACGACAACGGCATGAATGTTTTGTTCTTGTTTTTACGTTTCAGGTGTGCTGTCTAAATTTGTGTTTAATATAAAGCCCATTGCATCAAACTAGATTCGATGCCGCAATTGGAACTGCAGAACAAAGTGAGAACAAAGTCAATCATCCTTGTAGTTTAGTGTTCTGTAGACATGTGTGGGCGGTGATATCGTGAATCTATATAAGTACAGATTTGTTGCTCTCATTTCACCTTCAGGCATACGCGAGTAGGTACAATTCTAGGCATATAAGGAAATGTGCAGTGATGGGCATTGGTAACGCTCGGTTAGCTGGCAAACCCCTTCTATTAAGGTACTTTATGTTTACCCTGTAATTAAGTCAAACCAGTGCAAAAATCACGATATTCATAGACCGCTGAATGTATCCTTGAATGCATTTTGAACCAATAGAATAATATAATGTGTACAATCTACTCGCCTTATAAAATCACGGCCAAGCAGTAATAGGCACAAAAAAATTTTGCGAGAGTTTTGAACTAAATGGCTACAAACTGCTAACAGTTGAAAGCTTGAAACCTTCGAAGTTCTGACTAACAGACTCATTAAGTAGCTTGAGGTGAGTTCCCATATTGAGATTTCCAGGTCACTTTCCAAGTCTTTTCTGCCATTGGCAAATATCTTCGTGCCTCGCAAACAATAAATACGTAATTTCAATCTAGCTTTCTGCATAGCGGCGAACGGATTTCACTTTCCTTAAAGCCGGGGTCACAATGCCTATACATTATACGAAAGACAGTCTGCATACAGATTCGAACGCGAGTCACCGTGAGATCTGTGTTTCGAATGCCGCATGGCAATGAGTTCAAGGAAGAAATTTGGCACTCGGCATTCGAACCACGGATAATGCGGTGACACGTGCTTGCAGACTGTCTTTTGTTTTGTGTATGAGCAGTGTGACTCCGGCTTTAGAGAGCTACTGTGATTTCAACCATGCTTCAAAAGTACTCAGAAGCCGTCTGAAGCCCTAACATGTTCGCATCAAATCGTGAATGAAAAAAACACACAAAAACACGAAAACATTCTTTAGAAAGCATATTTATTACATTTTTTTTTCTTCTTAAAAACCTCAAGGTGGGTTCAAGGTATCCATCAGAATAGAGTCACCTCTTTTTTTCTCTCTCTCTTTCTATCTCTCTTTGTCACAAATTTTAACGCTCTCTTCGCTGCCCCGTTGCATTTGGTTATATGTACATACATTGCAGCGTTTTACACGGAGCCGAGCGCGTGACTGTATGTACACATATTCTTACACACACATGCCCACTGAGCAAATCGTGAACACGTCGTAGCAAAATAAGCAAAAGATAAGACGGAACACCATGTCCACCTGCCGGGACGAAGGCGCATCACTGGGCAGTGACAGCGTACAACGGACACTGACAACCTAAGTAACGCAGAGTGCGGCGAGACCCCTTGCATCTCATTATCGCCCAGCAGCCAATCACATTGCGGTATTAGCAGATACGAAGCCTGAAGAGCCAATCACGAAGCAAGGAGCGCGAACATGATAAGCCACGCCTTGCGTTTGTTAAGGTCTCAGCGACAGCAGTACAAATGTCTCTTGATGCCTCCATGCCTGCCAACGTAGAGGGTAGCGACAATTCCTCAACCACCCCATTGAAACCCAGTCATTTTAATTTTTTTCCAACTTCTCCAGCCGGTTAACTTTTCTTTGGAAGCGGGGAGGGGAGGCGGGTGCGCTATATCTTGGTTTTGTAATGTTCGCTGTCGAGCGTTTTTGAATACCTTGAGACATGGCTTTTTTCAAGTGTGATAACACTTGACAAAAGCGGCGGCCTTTTTCAGCTTGTTCCTAAGGGTTTGCGACTCTGCATTGTACATGCCAATTGTTGAGATATCCAAAGAAACTAGCAATTTTCTACCGATAAAAACAATATGCTTGAAATTCTACGTCACTCCCACTGTCTTTTACGTAGTATGCGTAAAATCCAATATTGAAGCGCAATTTGGACTCAAGTCATTCTGACAAGAAACAAAGGGCCTAAGAACGTAACGCTCCTTGCCATCTCAGTGTGACAGCGTCCAAGGATGTATCTCGCAAAAAATTGGCCAAAATTATAACCAGGGCGAGTTGAATCTTTTGGCTTGACTGTAATCAGCCTATTATCAACGCTAGAATGAGGATTTCAATGTTGTTGGAGATCCTTAACGTCAGCCATTCACAACTGATCCAGCCTAAAGCCGACAATGAAGTGAAGACCGTATATGTTTCACAAATTAATCAGTTGATAGTGGTTTCCTCCTTGTCTGGTTAACACATAGACAAGACAGTCAACATGTGCAAGGCAGGCAATTGACCTGCCCCACGCACGTAAAGAATAAAGCTACCGCAAAAGCTGGCAAATGACTACTGTTAACACATGACGCTGACGTTACGAATTGCTTGCAGTCCGTCTCGGAAACGCCAGTGTTGGAAAGCGAAACTCGTTTCCAACACTGGAGTTTGTCTGCATTATCCAAATTGTTTGGGTTTCTTTTGAGGGCGAAGAACGGCCGTCGACAACAAGGGCAAATGTTTCAATGGTACTCCTCTCCTCCGAGTATAAGATGCACAAGAATAAGATAATTGTTATGTACATTCACGTATTACAACAGCTCCATTCGATCAATCCGGTATACAAACAACGCGGCGGTAAATGCAAAGTTCGCAAAGGTCAGACAGAGAACAGTTCTTTTTCTTCACAAGAGGAAAGAGGACCGATAGAGTTCACCATTGTCCGCACTTCACTTTCGGCGCTTTCCCACTTCCCTCGTCGTTCTCGTATCAGTTTGTATTTTTTATAAATTATATTTATCTTCTATTTACAAGTTTATCTTTACAACAATGCACGATGTGGAGGTTTCCTGGCCTGTCTGAAGACTCCCAAGTCCGGCAAGGCGATGTTCAGAAGGAGATGTTCCTTGGCGCGTCTGGTAGTTCCGAAGTTGATTGAGCCACTACCGGTTGTGTTTCCTGTGGCAGGTTTCAACAGCGTCTTCACATTTCCGCAGCCGAAAGAAGACGGAGGCGGCGATGACAGGTTGAACAATCACGACGACATGCCTGAGATGTCTGAAGTCTCGGAGAAAAGAAGTGCGTGTCCAAATGCCGGATTGCATTCACCACCGCCGAATAGTCTTCGAGACAGCGAAATTCACTTCTGTTATTTTTGTCAGTCTTCCTGAGGTAGCATCCAGGGTATTAAAGCTCTTCAAGGCATCCAAGATTTCATGAATCTTGAAGTTTTTCCCTCCTTCCCTCCAAATCTCGAAGGCACAGAACATACACAAGAACTATTAAAAGAAAAGGCCACGAAGACTCGTCACCGTGAAACCTGCAAAGGGAACTTCTTCAAAGTCGGAATCACCACACACGCAACGGACACCTCCGCTGCTGGCACATGGGCGTTCATCGCGATGTCAGATGCATCACCCGTTGACCGGAACTACGTCTCGCAGACGGCATCCCTGAGCCTTGTAGACGATGTTAGAGGGACACTGGGACGTCCAATTCCTGCTGTGAAGGTCACTTCCTCTGTTAAGCCTCGTGAGTGACATCGAGCGCTGCCACAAGACGTGCCCAGATGACGAAGTGATGACGGTCCATGGAACACCCAATCCCAGCTTCTTCCTTCGTCTGCCTCAACGAAGCCCTTCTGGGAAACGTTCAAGCAATCTTCAGAAGACGTGCACGGCCGGTGAGCTAGCGATGGCTCCGGGACAGCAGCAGACAGGCACGTCTTTGACCTTGAAGCGACCAGGAGCTCGGGACCCGTTAGGAGAAGTCCCGGATGTCCTCACATCAAAGGCTAGGTGTCGCTGACTGGTACATGGAGTAGAGGGACGGGTGGTAGTAGCCTGATGAGTCGTTGGGCAGCGCCGTGTGGCCGCCGATTGGAGGAGAGAGGGGGTTGTAGCCGCCGTACTGCGACATCTCGTACAGCTTGAGGTCAGCTTTGCTCTCGTTGGCGATGATGTTGTTGATGGAGAACGGGTGGTTCGACGGGTTGTAATGAGGGTCAACCTGGGAAACGAAAAGAGCAAAGACGCAAGGTAAGTTAAAACAAAAAAAAAACTGTCATCTGTTCGTGGCAACAAATACACTTTTCTTTCTTTCAATGAACCTAACTATTTTAATTTCTTCTTACAAATTCCAATGCCAACAGGATCCAAAATATAGACTGAAAGCTTATCCATGGTTATTATTTATGCCATTTCCTAGCTTGAGGGTTAAACATTCTCACACATGTTCCTTCTTAATGTAAAATAATTATGCATGTTTTGAGCTATTTTCGATCTCGCGGACTTTGGGTTTTAAACCCTTCTCAAACTGACATGCAACACAAATACCCCCTTGACCATAAACTGCATGCTGGCCGATGGAAGACATTTACAAGACAAATATAGGCAAAGCACATTAAAAAACTGAAAGGATTCGATCTCCCCACCCCCCTTTTTCCCCAAAAGATAAGAATGCTAGTTGAATTGGATGGAAATTGAACATTCCTTTTAATGAAACATTGCAGGCTTTCTTGCCCGTTAAAACTAAGAACTGAATAATGGTATTGAGCGGCACTGTTTGATATTTCATGATTCGGACCTTCCAAGTGATTGGGACTCTAAATACAATGGCCCAAGGGTGTTTCCATCCCAACCAAATGACACTAAATAAAAAAAAAAGCTTTTTTTTTTAAGATTTGTTCTTGTGTCTTTATATCAAATAAGGGAAGTACGAGGAATGCTGAAAGAAAATACAGCGCGTCGTTGCAAATATGTCTGAGGTATGAAATGTACGAACTGGAGTTGTGCAGCATCACTATCGTCATTACTGTCCAGCTCGCTTGCACCTTTGCATTTAATTGCGTTATAATCAAATACAGCATATTGACGGTGAGGTGGAAGGGAACGAATAGATTCAATGCTCTAAATCACACCGAGTCACCAAGGTAACATATTTGTCGGTTGCTTGAAGCAAGCGGAGGAATGTTTCCAGATAAACGGAGACGCACGACCGCACTACCTCTGGTTACACAAGATGCAAACGTTCTCGTTCTCAGTTTGCGTTTCTCTGACAAGAAAATTATATACTACAGGTTATTCATGCATGCATCCATGGTGCTTGAATTAGTGGCGAGATGACGTCGTCTCATATTTTAAAGTTCGAACATTACGACACAGGTACGTTTAAATATGTTTCAGTATTTTTACACCATTAAGAGAATATGAATAGAGAGCAACAGTTTGATTTAACGTGCAAATATTGTGCGCGAAGCTTCATTATAAGTAGGCCGTAGTCTTCCGATTTTAACCGAACAACACTAAAAACACATCCGTCAGTGCCAAAGATACAAAATCAATGGAAACAGAAAAACACCAATAAACATTTCTTGGTGAAAAAACTATATATAAAATTTATTAAACCGAAAAACACCGATTTCAAAAATATTCTTGCTCCAGCTATTTGCTTTTGTTGAAACTCTCTCTCGTTGGCATAAGCTTTTTGTTTTAGTGATTTTTATCGTTAATAATTACCGGTTTGAGCGTCTGTCTCAAAATAATCACCGAATTACACCGATATCTGAAAACAAAAATGAGTAAACGCGGAAAAACATCTGACGATTCTATGATTATAAAACGCGTGCGAGGTACTAACCCTATCAAAAATGCCACTCCAAGGAAACGGTAGTTCCCCCAAGTAAAATTGGACCAGACAAAGCAAACACCCAAAGCAAACTAGACGTAAAACGTCGATAAAGCGCGAGGTCGATCTTCTATTGCATGGCGGCGCTGGTTCACTTTGTAAACGAGGAATCTAGCGACTGCAGTATATGAGCGATAACCTGGAGTCTTTAACGCGTGTCACTGAGTAGCAATACAGGACCGTGTGCTGGTACAATGCTCATCCAGATTGAAACGGGCAGGGGTGGGGAAATGGTACCCGGAATTCCTGAGTCCTGTACCGCAAATCTTTTAATACGCTCGTCTCTCAACCTTCTGAAGACAAGCAAAATCCCCATACTGAAAACGTCGCTGCGACCTCGGGAGAAACCCGCCGCAGCGAAGCATTTTACCCGTTGCTTTCCATAGCAGGAAAAAACCGCAAACTATATTTCATATAGAACTGCTTTTAGCGGAAGACCGAACAAAATACAGAAGTTCTTGAGGTTGGCCGGAAAAGACTTGAGAAACACTTTCCTGAAAACGAAACATCAGCCGCATTTTTAAGAACTACCAAGAGACTTTTTTTTTTAGAACAACATTTGTTAGACGTGGGCAAAATATTTTCATATCACAATGCAATTTAATATTCATCACAAAATTTATTACTCATCACTCTTACAAATACCTAAACCTGTTTTACCCGATAGTGAAGCTTGATGGAAATTAAAACACATAATTTCTGACCTCAGTTAAGTCTAAAAAGGCGTTACATATATCCTTGAAATATAAACGCCTGCATTTCATTCAGACACACGGCAGCACCTTCTGTGTTCCAATAAATGCGTTTACGATACTGGCGAAAATGGGAGTATTTTCCTTTCTCATGCCAGAAGGTTCTGATGTTCGCGTGAACTGAATTCTCCAACACGTCGTGGGAAAGATGACGCGCGGGCATTTTGAAAAGCGATAGTGGGTAAACGCAAAGGCTAGCAGCTTCGGTCTCTGCTCGCTGTCTGCCTCTATAATTAAAGTGAACAGGAGTGTCATCTGCTCCTCGCCCAGGGTCCGGCGTTCCAACGATAAACGCCAAACCCTGAATAAAAAAAAGTGAACATTTAGATGCGTTTTGAGATGACAAGTAATAGAAATAGAGCGCCATTGAGTGTGATTTGTGTTGCTCATCAATGTCATCTTCGGGCACGAGCCACGCAACACATAAAAAGTAGTTCATTATCCGGGGTACCACTTCTGTTCTTGGGGAAAACATACACGACAGCTTCTCACGTGGGGTGTTTGTTGCCTGCCGATAGATCACTCCAAAAACCAGCAACTTCCTACAATCTAAGAAATCCCCCGCGACTATACTTCACGCGCAGCATGTGGGAGAGCCGATCGCTGGAATCTATGCTGAGGAAACTCGGTGAATGATGAGGCAGAAAATATGTTCGGCTCACAAAAACAGACCGTTTACAAAGGAATCCCCCCCCCCCCCCCACCCCCAATACCGGGTGCGCGGGCACCGCGATTTGTGTGAGTCGTCTGCGCATGCTCAGTGCCGACAACAGCGCCACCGTAGTGGAGTGACCTCAGAGGGTTGAGTTGGCGCGTGTAGCGATGTGGGTTATCCGGCGGGCAAGTTCTTCTGTTCCTTGCGCGTCTCGTGCGTTTGTTTACCCTCTAAACGCGCCCACGTGATTTTGTTTCCCACCGACTTTGGACTTGGCGTGCTATACTCGCGTTTCGATGCGACAAAGACGCATTCTGAAACACTTGCTGGCCGCATTGAACGGTTTTCAAGCCGATATCACGCTGCCTACACATCGTGCAAAAGACAGTCTGCAAACAAGTTCGAACGCTAATCACCTCGAGATCCGTGCTTCGAATGCCGCGTGGCAACGAGTCCGGGGAGAAGCTTGGCACGCGGCACTGGAAACATGGATATCGCGCTGACTGATGTCTGCATACTGTCTTTTGTGTGATGTAAAGCAGTGTGACCCCCGCTTAAGTCGATCGTTTATGCACTCCAATAGCGATGCCCGCGAAGTTTCGAGGCAAAGTATGAGGACCGAAGCACTTTTAAGTGATCCTGGCGCTGTCGGTTTCGCCGATACGAGCGCCAGCGCTCCGTATAGCTGTGACATATCATATCTTCTGAGGATGATAAAATAATGAAACGTAAACAAAGACTCGAAGTATGCCAAGCAAAAAATCTCAATGGTTTTAGAAAAAAAATATTTTGCATCCCGAAATTCTGCAGCGAAACCCGTCACCCTAGAAGCTGAATTGCATAAATTGGGAACTGGGAAACATGGTAATCCGCAGTCGGTGGAGTCGATACGTTTTATGGCCTCTCGGTAATCCCAATATCACGAAACAACATTCTACGGAACTTTGAAGTAGCTTTTGCTCGAAACACCCGATAAACAGTTGCCTGCGCACTAACGAGGAGTGTCGTGTTTGGTAACATAAGCGATTAAGGAGGGCGGGGGTCAAATTAAAGCAATGGGACAGTTCTCGTTCTTAAGGTGCTTCGAATGAAGCGTGGCAACAGGAGCAGCTTTTCACGCTACACAAGAAACACGAATGTCCCGGTGACTCCTCGCGTAACGTAAGAAATCGTAAGGAAACGCCCCTGTGGGAACCGACCTTTAAAGGCCGACGCCCAGACTCGAGATTCTGCAAGGCAGAAGATCCTCCTCACCATGGGGGAGGAGGAAACAGGCCTCGGTGGACATTTTAGAAGTTGGGGAGTAGGAAGCGAGGGAAAAGTGGAAAGCGCGAACTGGTCGTCGGTCTTTAAGCCGTCTGCGACCATGGAAGCACATATTCCAAGTCAAGCGTCGAAAAGTCGATGATAAGGTCTCCAAGTATAATGTGAAACATATTCCACTTTTCAGGACAAAGGCTGTTCATTACAAATGCATCATACATTCAATCACCATGAGTGACAGGTTTTAACACTGGTTTCGCCGCCGTGCCACCGTGCACGCGGGAGGAGTAGCTTTACAGGAGTCAGGGGTCAATTCGAAACGCGCGTGTTAAAAATGTGTGTGTGCATGTGTAAAACGTTTAATGAAAAAAAAAGGTGTGGTCGCACTCACGCGTGACTACTTTAACCTTAAAAATCCTCCTTTCTGAATGTTCTGCCATAGGTCGCCCGACGTAATGTAATAAAAGAAGTTTGCAAGAAAAACTTTTTAATTAGCTGCGGGCTTTGATTAGCAATCTTAGTAATCATATGGAATAGTAAGGTTGATTTTCATGGAGAGTAGAAATTGAATATTAATTTAAATGTTTCCCGCACACGCCCGGATGTAGACAAAAATATTTCGGGCATTTGAACGAAACTAACGTTCCTCTCTA